GTGGAATTACCCTCAGATATTGACTTTAATTGCCAACTTCTAAAATGACGTTCAGTCTATTATAGCTTAGGTGGTTCTCCTCGATTGCAGAAAATCCACCTCTTAATATACCCTAGGTTACTAAGTAAATTCTAAAAACATGACTACAAATATTTGGAGAGAAAAATCATCTTACAAATGAAAATACTTGTCTTCTAAAGAGCTTCCTAAATGTGTGCCAAACAACAGATAAAACATGTACACTGAATTAATGACTTCCCCAGGCCTATATTCATAAGGAACAATACATCTTGGCCTGAAAAGAAAACATCTGACCTTAACATCTTCACCTGACCTTAACAAAGAACACTCCAGACCAGAGACCTAAACAAATAATTTCTTTCCTGACACTAAGCGTACAAATAGTACTGTCTAACTCAGTATAATTTTTCAACATGTTGAATAGTTTAAAAGCAATTTTTTTTTTTTAAGAAATGAAAAGAAGAATGTTACTAATACAATACAATTAAGTTGACTGTGTTGACTTGTGTGCGCCTCCAGTATAATGTAACTGATTATCTTGTTGTAATTTCTTCCCTCCATACCTCAACGTAAGTTTCAGAATTAAGCATTTACTATATACATGTAGAATGATATACGAAACATGGAGAGGTAAATCCATTTCGGAGGTGAGGTATGGAGGTAAGGTTGGAGTGTGTTCCACAGTTCAGGCCAGAACTTGAAAGCGATCGCCTTCACGGCCCAGGAGTGCCGTGAACTTGGGATGTAAGTAACTTGGGTGTGAGCAGCTAGAGCGTAGTCGCCGTGGTGGTTCGTGTACTAGGTCTTGTATGTATGAGGATGTGTACTGAGGAGCCTGATAGACGAGAAGAATGACTTCGAAGATGATGCGTTGGCGGACAGGAAGCCACTTAAGTGCCTGAAGGATTGGTGAGATGTGAGTGGTGCCTGTAGTGAGAGCTACACATCTGACCTCTGAGTTCTGAAGGAGTTTTTTGAGGCGTTGCAGCTGGTAGTCAGGAATATTGTATCAGAAGCGAATTTAAAAGCCTAATCGGAAAAAAAATAAGGGAATGAACAAGTCCAATGTAGCTTACGCGTCAGGTCAGCAGGGAGGTGAGACAAATCTTCTTATGTGTGAAGGGTTGCAGAGTTGGAATCTAATGGCTATACATGACTATGTGGGATATATTATGATTTAGAGTTCGAATCGATTACAACATCAAGGATCCGGCATTTATTTGTAGGGCTGATCTGAGCATCACAACTGTAATGAAGCTTTCCGGGATCTTGTTCAGCATGACCTTTGAGTCTGTAAAATCGTGAACTCAGATTTCCCTTCTTTGAGCTTTAGATTACAACCGAATATTCCACTTCCTTTAAAGTTACGGCGATTGTACCTGCGGCATTGTCCGCCATGTTTTCGTAGATATCCTCCGTTACCATGACTACTGGGTTGTCTATGGTCTTCATGTCGACATACTCTGCCTGCATGGTCCCTCTCTTCATTCGGGGCGTTAAATATTCATTCTCGATCTCGACTTTGTTGGTCGTTCTTAAGATATAAAATGATAGTAATATCCAATATTTAGAGGCATACATTAAAACGAATACACACAAATACCAAAGCAAAAATAAAAAGCTTACAAAAAATAATAAAATAAGCCTAATAGAACCATTAATAAGAACATAATTAAATCAAATTATTTATATCACGGAAAGGGGGGGGGGGGTAATGACCTTTTAAAACAAAGACAAGTTCTTATTTTGAGTTACTGATGAAAAGTGCAGATACCTTTTTTTTCTTTCTTTTTTTGGTCTCGAAATTTGAAAATTTGACATTTTGCTATAATGGCCTGCCATCAGGCGCTTACGCAGGGGGAGGGGGGGGGGTTAGGGAGGGTTTATACACATAAAAATACCAAAGGGGGGGGAACCCCCCCCCCCCCCCCCTCCCCCCCCCACCCCCCCCCCCCCCCCCCCCCCCTGCGTACGCGCCTGATGGCAGGCCATTATAGTGACACAATTTCTCTCACCATTTACTGGCATTGGTCTCTCAAGGGACGTACAAATCATGGTCACAAATCTACAGAATTTACTTGTTTTGATCATCCATTATTGAAGGAAAAATATTATCTAAAGACCATGATTGAGAGACCAATGATGTGAGCAACCACTGACATAGTTAAGTCCAACTTAAAGTCGATCTTAGTCTTTGTGAAACACCCCCTGGATTCTTGGTCAAATCTTATTTTTAGCGGCTCGATTCTGGACATTTTACCTCCATGTTCATGCGCAAGGTGTCACTGCCAGAGCTTCGGGAAAAGCCAAAATCGTAGTCTCGTACCCAGGAGGTGGTGCTTCTCCACCTGCCATCTCCTCGAGACCGGAACCATTGTTTGGGTCTTGTTTCGGCTTGCACCTAATGAGAGAGGCAATACGTAAGGAGAAGAAACAATACCTGTCAGCTACCATGGCCGGGTAGGCTTATTTTCACTGTCTGAATTATGTCACCAATATACCAGGGGCGGCCGAGCGACTTCCAAAGTGGGGGGGGGGGCACCAACAAAAAAGGGCACTTTCTTGAAAAAAAGGGGCACCTAAAGTGGGAAATCTCGAAGCGAAAATATACAATTTGTTGGACATTGGTATATACCCCTACATTGTGATTACATTATCAGGGATGATTTCAATATTTGTTTCTCTTCATCCATATATATCGCTTAAGCATCATACTTTACAGTTGGGTGTGATGTCTGAATATGCATTTACGAGCGAGCGAAGCGAGCGAGAAAATTTGAAAGATCTGTGAGGTCGCAGTGCGAAAAATTACATCTTATAAAGAGGAAAAAAGCCAATCGTGATGGGGTTATAAGCACATTCTCATAACGGAAGACTGAAAAGACCTTTGATAAGTAACATAATTATATCATCTTTAAATGCGAGCGAGTGCAGCGAGCGAATATTGGGGGAATTGCTCTTAGTCGCTTTAAATAAGGGGCACGTTTAATGATTACATGAAAAGGGGACAATTATCGAAAGGGATAAGACACTTATTAGAAAAGAAAAGGAGCACGTGTCAAAGTACAAAGGATAATTATAAGAGGTGAAAATGAGGCATTTGTTTCACCTGAAAAGAGGCACTCACCAGTGATGAAAAAGAGGCGTTTACGAAAATGGGAAATAGGCATTTGTTGACGGAAAAGGGGCACCCATCAGATTTTGATAGGGGCATTTATAAGAGGTGAAAAGAGGATAGGTCCCTTATTAGAAAGTAAAAGGGCATGTATCATTATTAAAAGGGGAATTATCAGAGTTGAAAAGGGGCACTGACCAGATATGAAAAGGGGCACTTATAATAAAGGAAAATGTGCATTTGTTGAATGAAAAGGGGGCACTGTTCAGATTTTTAAAAGGGGCAGTTATGAGAAGGGGAAGGAGCTCTTTCTTTTAAATGGTAGCACTTATCATAAGGAAAAGGGGCACTTATTAGAAAGGGAAAGGGGTAGTTATGAGAAGGGGAGGGAGCTCTCTCTTTTATGGGGGTACTTATCATAGGGAAAAGGGGCACTTATTAGAAACAAGAGGGGCACATGTTAAAATGAAAGGTGTGCTCATCCGAGTTTTAAAAAGGGGTAGTTATTAAAAGGAGAAGTGGCACTTCTAACAAAGGAAAACAGGAGAAGTTGTCAAAGTAAAAGGAGCCCCTCTCAGTTTTGAATAGGGTAATTATCAGAGGTGAAGGGGGCACTATTAAAAGTGAAAAGGGGCACTTCTCGTACCTGAAAAGAGGCACTTACTAGAGATTAAAAACTTATTCAAGATAATTTCAAGATTTATGAGAATGGAAAATGGACATTTATTGCAAAGGAAAATGGGAACATGTCGAAGGAAAAGGGGCGCGTGTCAAAAATAAAAAGGGCACTCGTCAGAGGTGAAAAGGGGGAAGGGGCACTTTTACTTGTCAAAGTAAAAAGGGGCACCTTTCCTATGTAAAAGGGGCACTTCTTACAAAATAAAAGGGGCACTTTTCCTATGTAAAAAGGGGCACTTTTGGGGTATCTGAAAAAGTGAGGGCACTGTTCCCCCCTGCCCCCCCCCCCCCCCCCGGAGGGCCGCCTCTGCAATATACTGTTTGCAACTAATGATTAACAGTTTGGTTTTTTGTCAGAGAGTTTATCTGGCTGTATTTTATTTCGTTCCCCCCAAAAGTTGTTTTACCTCGCTTTTAAAGGTACTATGTCCCTTTTAATGACCTTAAATGCTGTAGAACTTTGCAGAAATTATGAATATGTCATGTATTTCCTGTCTGTGAAATTTAAACGTTAGCAGTGTCCTAATATTCAAATTATGCAAGGAAACCCGTTTACTTGCTGGGCTTCACTGTCAGACACTATTGAGTGACTGACTGGCTTTTTTCTTCTTTGGTAATAACATACATGAAAAGAGGTGTAAAGGGTACATGAGCATTTGTCTACATCAATAACCCACTTCTTGTGATGGCCAAGATTAAACTGATTGAATCTTTGCGCAGCATAAAACGTATGACCATTCGGTACAATTGTCTGAAAATCAAGACTATTACTTTTGGGCTCTATAGCCTTAAAGTCGATTTGACAACTAATAATCGTTATTTTCCCACTTGAAGACATTTTCAAGCCCCACCTTTTTTAGGGAAGTTCTAAATTAGTATTATCTTTCAAATGCAGTTGGAATTTAACTTTTTCATGTTTTTGGCCTGCAAATGGGACATAGTACCTTTAACATGTTGTATTATGATGTGACTTTTTTGCAAATGGAGGATGAACTTCCTGCACAAAATCTAATAACTGCCTATATGAAGCTTTTTGACGTTTGTTTGAAATATCTTAATTACTACAATACACTGATGATTGATTTAAATTGAATTCTCATCTGCTTATGCAGTCTATACTTGACATTAATCAACTAATATTTAAAGGACTATTTATAACCTTAGAATGTAACCATACTCACTTGCATCTATTAACGAGAATGATGATAATGATAGATACTACCACTACTGCTGCTGCAACTCCACCGCCTATAGCTGCATATGGAGCTGTTGTAAAACAAGCATCTAGCATCGTTACCATTTGCCCAAATGGACATGAATATATTGGGAGAGCAGTAAATACATAATTATATTGTGTCCAGAGATGGGGTTAGAGCATGTCAAGAATATGGCACACGTATATTTCGACTCTTTCTATTCTTCTTATCTATTTCTCCTTGTGTGCCTTGGACTATAGCTTCTACATAAACTGCACCATACAAAATAATGCTTATCATAATTATTGTTAGCACTATCATTAATGTTATCATGATGTCATACATATCCACGGTAAGAAAAACAAAATGGAGGAGAAATATGAAGGAATCTTGTGAAATGTGACATGTTAGATATAATTATAATGAAAATGACATTTACCTTCTATGGAAGTGGTTGATTTGCCTGTCGAGCTAGTAGGGGTGTGTGCTTTGGACTGGAGGTTTGTGCTGATTGGTTCAGTTGATGGTTGTCTTGTTACAGGTGGATCTGTGTATTTTTAAAAGGAAGTAAATTCAAATAAGATCGCAATGACGGTCAATATTGAACATGAGACGATTTTAGTAAAGCCCACCGCATATTATATGATCTGACTATGATCCGATTTTTGATTAATTGCAGTAGCATTTCATATGGACATTCAAACATTTAAAATCGGAATGACCGTGAATCTGAATAGTCATATGATTAATGAAATATATCTTTCAAGGGATGTCATGCTTCTTCTGAGGAGAAGTGGCTAAATCGGCTCACAGTCGTAGTGACGTCACCAATAAAGCGATTATATGTATTTTGAAGCCGGATTGACTGTGAATCTTAGTAGAAAAAATAAAATGCACTAAAATTCCTGTTAGCATTATTAATATTATTCAAAAATTAGATCAGGAAAATGATGTTAGTTGAGACTTTCATATCTGATATAATTTTAATTTCCAAGAAAATCGATCGCAGGAGGATCGTGAAGTGTGCCATGGGCGTCGTATATTTACATGGTCGTGCGAACTTGACATTGATATTATACGTAATCCGGACAGGGTTTCAAATAGAACTGACATTACACTTTAGTTTATTTCTTGAAAGTATTTACTATCGTGTTAGAATCACATCTCTTTTACGATGTATTTAAATGGGGTATTATTAATTCAGTCATTCTCTTTAGATTCATAACACGATGGATCTTTTGTAGATCAAACTTAGTGGCATTACGTGCACCTATAATTCTAGAGTAATGTCTCTTTCAACTACTTACCTATATATGGTGTTTCATATATTTGAATGTTGTCTGCTCTGATCAGAGGAGCTACACCACCCCTTCTGGCAATGAATGTTATCTGCAATAATAAAGGATATAAAAACAGAGGAGAACAATATGCCTTCTCTTTTAAGAAAACTATTGTTAGGTAGTGCTTATATAGTGATCTTTAATAATATTCTCAAATCGAATTTTCAAAATAAATGTAAAAAAAGATGAATCCAAAACTAATGCATGTATAATATTATTTAAAACCAGGTAAGCTAGTCTAAAGCCTGACAATGATCAACACGTTTTAAAACAGTTATAAAACTTCTTTTACTGCTTGTTTAGACTTTACAAAAACAAACAATCTTATGATATATTGTGCAATATAAATGATAATTTATATTGATATGATTATGTTTAAATATTATTTAGGCCTTACAATTAAAAATTAAATAAAAGAGATATATCTTGAGTCAGCATGTTTGAAACATGCTTAAAGGAATATCAAGGAAAACTAGAAAATAAGTCCTTGTATTACAAACCTCACCATCCATTTTGCTTGCACATGAGTAAGGAACTACTTCAGTATTTGGCGTCGGAATTCCTACATCAGCAACTGTAAATGCAGGTTCACTTGCTTCCCTGCAGACCTTGACCGACATGGATGAATCAGGACCCCCAAAGACGTATTCAAAAGATAAATTTCCTCGCGGTGATGTAAAAGTGTGCGGGATGGAGAATGTGAACCTGTCACCTGGACTGCTTGTAGACATGTTTGCCCTTAGAGCCCCTGTATATAATTTGTAGAAAAAGAGTTTAATTACAAATAGGCCCCTGTATCCATTCGACAGGAAAATACATTATTATTATTTGTTATAATCGCGATTTTGTTAAATGTAGTTAAACACAATATTATCAATTGTATTTAATACTGATCTTATTTAGGACCCTTTAAATTATCATTGCCACGGCATTGTATGTTCATCTGTGTAGAGAGGGACACATGCATGCGAAACACCTTGTCCAAGGATGTAAGCACTGACCACTAACCGAACCAAGGACCTCTCGTATGAGAGTTTTATAGAGACAGCTGTCTTTTGCTCGTCACTCCAAGCCAACATTTATTGCAATGGTAAAAGAGATTTGAGAAACAAAAACATTCAACAGATATACAGTATAATTATTTCGTATTTGGTTCTGTATTACTCGTTTATAAAGACTGAATAGTCAACAGTAGATGTGTTATATAGGAAGGGGCAAAGACGTTTCATGTCTACCACGTACCGCTGTCGATTATCCAATTTTCTTCCTTTTCAATGATTTCACATTTGCCCTCTTCAAAGTCACATGACCAATCTAAAAATATCAAATGGAGTCAGGAAAAAGATTAACTCAATGATATGTATTAACAAGGGGTATTGGACCCCTTTGAAAAACAGCATATGGCTGACAAGGGCAATCCACCCCATGAGTGGAGAATAAATAAATAAATAAATAAACCAGAGATCCATGGTAAAACACCCATGTACGCAATATATGCCTAAACAAATATCGGATAAGAATTAAAGGCACATGCACTTGTAAGGCAGATTTCAAACCAACAAATTCAGTTTTGCGGCCCTTCTCATAGTTTAGTTTACGGTTTATGAACCCGGTGGCACACATTACTGACAGCCTACGAGACCGACAATTTTGCTCTCGCTGGCATTTATGAAAATGTAATATTGCTTCACGAGACCGAAAGCCCACGAGATCGACAGCTCGAGAAAGTGGCATGTGGGCCTGGCAATCCTTTCAAGCTTTCATGAGATCTACAATATACACACTGGTGGTCTCGTGGACTGTCGGCCTAGTTGGCTGGTCGTTAATGAATGTTTCGGTTAACATGATTAAACTGTAGCAATATTGATATCGAGATGGAAACAAAGTGTAATTGTACTCACTATAAATAAAAGAGTGGGAGAGTTAAAGGCACAAGTTTCATTGAAAGACAAGGTTGAGTTCTGATTAAGGTTAACCAACACAATTATGAATTATGTCTGAGCATCAACAGATTATCAATAATTATCAGTGAAATAATTTATCTGGATCAACAGCCAAACAAACTCCCGTCCATATTATTGCGAAGATAGCTATCCGTTTGTAAAGTTCCATAATGGATTGTTTGGGGTACTCAAAATGATAGATAACGACGGACATACAATGCACAGATCTTTGTTGTACAGCAGAGCACATAATAACTTATCTTCGCCTTCATAATCATGTCGGACTGAATTTTGTAATATAGTGTAAATATTTGCTTCTACTTTTATTTTAAAATGATTGTTTCATTTTCCATCGTTCTTCTGTCTGTTCCGTGTTTGATGGCTCATTCCACCATGCATGAAATTGTAGTAGCCCCGTGAATGGTTTTGTTTTTTTCCTTGAGTGGTTCCTAATAATTGACATTCAATCAACTGGAAAGTGATTCTCTTGTGTTTATTGACATGCGATACCGAAATCTCCCTCCAGATATTATATTGGACTTCCTTAATGTCTGGTATATATTGATACTAAATGCACTTTTATGAAATGTTACATTATAGATATATGATCCTGTTTGCTCTATAGCTGGGAGCAGGCGCGCCGGAAATAGTTTGGGATGGGGGGAGGGGGGGGCAAACATTCCAGGGGGCTCACCTTAAAGGGGAAGTGGTGTAATGAGCAAAAACGTGCGAAAACATGCAGGCCCCGCGGAACGTTTTTCAAAGTGGAGCATTAACGATCAGGTAGATTGTAACGAGTGAAAAGAGTGGAGCATAAATTGGTGTGGGGTCCAGGGGCGGTGCCCCTGGAAGATAAGGGGTTTTAGACATTAAATAACGGTCAGATATTAAGGCATATTTAGATACCTTATATGTATTTATGACACTGTAAGGTCAATTATTAGCGTGCGGTCCAGGCATTGAATTATGGTCAGATGAGCATTTAGGGTCCTGTCTAAGGGCCCCTGGTGAGGTCCGGGGGGGGGTGGAGTCCCCGAAAGCTCAGAGGTTTTAGGGATTTAATTACGGTCAAATGAGCATATTTTGATACCTTATTTGTGACACTAACAGGTCACTAATTTGAGGGGTCCAGGGGTCTGAGCCTCATGAAGCTCATGGTTTTAGGCATTATATTACGGTCAGATGAGCAGCCACGAGCCCGCTTTAGGGCCTTTGGTGTTGTCTATGGGGTAGAGCCCCCGAAAGCCCAGGGGTTTAAGGTATTTAATTAAGGTCAGATGAGCATTTCCTGGTGAAGAAAGAAAAATTTCATGCATATGACAATAAACCTCATTCCCTATTCCTCACTGCTAATCCATCACATGCACACCAAAACACCTTTAACAAACAAACATTACAATTGATATCTGTATGAATAAAACATATCATATAAGAATGGTTGTTAAATTAAATGACAACGATTTTTTTTCTTTATTAGATACAGAAATTTAAGAGTTTGCACGGCTTTCTAAAAGTGTAAAAACAAAATCCATACTTGCAGACTAGGCTTCTAGACTTCTCCCTCTCTTGTTCATGCTTTCTCTTGTCTTATTTCTCCTATGTCTTCCATTTAAAACCTTTCAAACCAAACAAACATATGTAGGACCTTCACTATAATTGATCATAGAACGAACTAATGTTTCATAGTCCATGTACAGCTCCTTGTCTCTCATAAAAAAACATTATTTTTCTTTTCTTCCGCTTTTTGAAAGAGCTGTAGAATCTAATATTTGTTAAAAGATTATTATGGACTAAAACACGCACATGAAGTCTCGTCACGTTTCCTGTTCGTTATTTTAGAGCGAAGTTTCTTTTGTATTCGTTCCACAGGCACAGCACTCAACGGCGAGGTGAGGTGAAAAAACCGCATCATGAACAAATCTTTTGTTCAATGATTTATCTTTTCTCTGCACTATATACTAGTGAGCTCGATCTTAAGAAGACACAAAACATGTCACAATGATTGATTTCTTGTCCCCTTCTTTTATTCTTTCCTTTAACAAATACATGTTTCATAATCCATGTGGGTACTATGGTCTTTGTAATGCAATTCGGTCAGGTTTTAAAATTAGTATACATGTATTATTCCTAAGGTATTGAACCTATCATTCCCGAAGCCATGCACCTTGAGGTGAAAACATAAGTTGGTTGTTCACATATTTATCAGTCTTTTCTATAAAAAAAAATTAAAAAAAACGAAATTAAAAGAATGTAAAGTTCTTAAAAAGTGGAGAGTTTATTGGATTTTCAAGATGCAGTCTACCTTGGGGTCCGTACTGTTTAATTCCATTTCAGTCAACAATAGATATGAACATGAGGTGGTTTCAAATCAAGATTATAAATAGAATATATACGGAGGACAGTTTGTTAATATTAGGTGTAGTGGCTGACAAGAAGTGTACTTTTGTAATAGCAATAATGAAACTATCATACATGTTTTCTTTGCTTTTGTAACTATTCGAATGAAGTATGGTCGAAATTTGAGTTCGTGATAGTTCGCAATACGGGGGAAAGGATCATACTTTCAAATCAAACTAAATTGTTTGGATTTTGCGGTAGCAATAATAATGCACTAAACTGTGTTCTAATAGTTGTAAGACAAGAAATATTTTCAGCCAAATTACAAAATCAACTACCTTCATTTGATATAATTTTATCAGCTGTAAAACGCTATTATGAAATGGAAAAATATATAAACCAAACAAATCTCAGAGAGAATAAATTGGGAAAAAAATGGTTTCACTTCAGAAAATATTTTGAGAGTGTTGGAAATGTGCAAACAGAAACATGATCAGGTATTTTTATGTTTGGTATTTTAAAATATTTAAAATAGTAATTTTGTCATAAATGCTTGTTTTTATCTGTCACAAAGTTTTCGGTCTTGATAATTATTATCTGTGTTAAGCCATTAGGTATGGAAATTATATGTTTAATTATTTGTATATAATGTATGGATATACTGTATATGATGGAATTTGTTTTGAAAATAATGATCCCTGTGGAAGGGGACACAAATATTTATGTGAATGAATTCATGACAGATACAACGCAAACTCATATG